TTAAAAACGTTGTGGACTCGGTACTTTATTGTATCAATACATTGGGCCTAAATATGACTGATAGTACTGTCCTGTATGTGGATTTACCAATACTTTTTCCACAGAAAAGGAATACGAAAGAGAGGCCTTTGATATCAACTCAAAAGTAGCTCTTGGTAAGTCAAATAAATATTAACTCATGAATGAAGAATGTAAGGAACTGCCATTAGATGGGGGAGGGGCAAATTTTATGGGTGTTAGATTATTTATTAACATGCCAGTGAAGGACAGATTATTTATTTTTATTTCCAAGATGATTGGGGACAGATTTTTTCTGGGAAAAAAGTACGAGTTGGTACTTTGAAACTGTTTGCATGCTGTTTGCTGGTCTGATGAAATTCAATCCTTTATTTTACTACTGCTGCATAGTTACAATATTGGTCGGGCAGCATGGGCATTTCTCTTGATAAGTCCATGCAGTTCTGTCTAAGATTTTCTGGTTTAAAGGGATTTTCCAATCAACCGTAATTAGATTTCGTTTATGCCGGTTTATATTTTTTCAGCCAACATGATGTTACATTCTGGTATGGGACCAACCCATGTATTAAATTTTCTCAGCACCTTTAACACTCCACATATGGTGTCACCACATTGAAGAAAAAGAGATGTCAGCCTCTATTGTGCATCCAGGCCAAGGAGTCTTGTTTGATAGCTAGAGACGAAGAATGCTAAACCGGAACAGTTGGAATGCAGTTTTGATGCTGAATAGCACCAGGGGGTCCTGCTGTTAGTATAATAGTGGTACTGGTAAAGTCATCATTTGAATTTTGTTATGCCAAATTAAATTAGTGTAGAAAATTGGCAATTTTAAATGTCTGCAAGTTATATACATGTACGTATACATGTTCACTGAAAATCTATATATAGGATATGGACAACTTGGGGAATATATTTTGATGTGGACTCCAGATAATAATGTTGAATTTTATATTTCAGATAAATTCATTCGTAAAGTGTATAAGATATATGTAATGTGAGGTCCAGACTGTAGTGGCGCCGGAATTGATTCCGGAGTTGGTTTGATTAATAGTTTGTTTACAGTTTGTTCCGGCATAAACCATGCTTGTTTTTTCCTACAAAAATTGATTTGTATTTGGTGTTTGTGTTCCAAAAGAGTAAGTACACTGTGTATAGTGATCATTTGTCATGTAATTAATTATAAAACATAATGCTTTCATGTTGTTAGTGATGCTCATGCCTGTTTTCATGATTTGAAATGTGCGTTGATATTTTGTTCGAGTATGGCGTGCCGTGAATGTCATTATTTCGATGTTTTGATATTAAGCGATTATAATGTGTTTATCTTATACTGTCTTGTGAGATTATATTATGTAATTAATGTTGTCCCCACATGTATGTTTCAGTTTCCACCCTCGGTGAGAGAGGTTTGTAAGTTTGACCAATAAACTTGCGTCGTGAACACACTTACAGTGGAAATCTTGGGCACAGCTTTCTTCACTCTCTCTTTTCACTATGGCTGATGGATCTACTAAAGAGGTTTCAAATCCTGAGAAGACCCACGACTTACGGAAAGACAGAGAGCTCACTGAATTGGGATCTGAACAATATATTCAGACTGTTATATCATATTCAAAGAGGCTATCACAGTCCCAAGGCGAAATTGATAACATTTGTGAGTTTGTCGCAAAAAATCCAGTACATCTTAGAGATGTGAACAGCATCATAAACAAATTGGAACAACATATCAGTGAGTTCGAGAAATTATGTTCCAAATTCTCTACTTACCTGAGTACCCTAAGAACATCAGACAGTATTCAAGAGAATGCTAAGTGGAAAGCAGTTTTGGATAGTACAAAGACTAAAGTACATGATGTTATCAAGCGTATTAAGGTTCCAAGAAAGTCTTTATCTACGACAATGTCTGGGCGACTCAGTCAGCGCTCCAGATTATCAACCTTTCTCTCACAGGAAGGCACAAAACAACTAGGTGAAGCTGTGTTGAAACATTCAGAACGCCTCTCTACAGCCAAGGCTCGCCTCAAGTTTGCAGCAGAAGAAGCCGCACTCCTCCAACAGGAAGCAGAGCTCAACGCAAACAAGATGATTCTTAGCACAAAACGTGAAGTTGAAGAAGCCAAATGCAATCTTGAAGCGTTATACGATATGTCAGATCTGGGAGGAAGCTATGTTCCACCATCCATAGTTGAAGACAATCCATTCGAGGCTGAAATAGGACTTCAGCGCACAGAAGCTTACGTTGACTCGCAACAAGGTGATACAAGTTCCCCAAGTCAAGACCATCCTCCTGCCGAGGATGGAAGTGAATCTAGATTACCCCAGAGGCAGTTGGACATTGAAACAGAACATTTTAACCCCCAAGTCAACACAGCAGAACCAACATCATATTTTGGTCCCTCTGCGAACAGTGTCAAAGCAAACATCCCGAACACTACACAGGTCAATCAGCAAACACCTCAGATTGGGCATACTGACATGAACACATGCTCAGAGTTTGCTAAAGTCTTTGCCAAGAAGGACTTAGTTTCAAAGATACACATCTTTGACGACAATCCAGAGAACTTTTCATCATGGAAAGCCTCATTCAAAAATGCAGTGAAGGAACTAAGTCTCACACCCATGGAGGAGATGGACTTGTTAGTGCAGTGGCTTGGAAACACCTCATCAGCGACCCAGGCAAAGAGCATCAGAAATGCTAATACATCAAATCCAGACCGTGGGTTACAGCGTATATGGGATCGTCTTCATGACCGCTTTGCCAATCCAGAGGTTGTTGAGTCCGCCATCAAGGGAAAACTCGCCAAGTTCCCTAAGCTAAGAAACAAAGACAATACAAAGTTATATGAACTCTTTGACATTGTGTCAGAAATTGACTCCTTAAAGGAAAACCCCGTCTACTCAACATTGCTCGCTTACTTCGATTCATCATCAGGTGTGAATCCCATTGTGGCCAAGTTACCTCATTACATCCAAGAGAAATGGGTGACGGAAGCAACAAACTACAAGTTGAGAACGGGACATCCATATCCCACATTTCCTGTGTTCGTGGCATTCTTGGAAAAGATCACAAGGATGAAGAATGACCCCAGTCTACAGTTTGACACCTTACATGACGCTAACAGAAGTGAACAGCAGAAAGTGTACCCAGTAAAGATGCAAGGCCGTAAGAGCAACCCTACTGTGACTGCATTTAAAACACAAGTACAGAGCTCTGGAACTTTATTTAAAGACATTGCTTCTACGTTGGACAGGTGCCCTATTCATGAAAACTCTAAACACACACTAAATGAGTGTCGTTCATTCCGCGCCCGACCATTAGATGAGCGGAAAACATTCATAAAGGAAAAGGGCTACTGCTTTCGCTGCTGCGGGCCAAAGAAGCACATAAGGTCAAAGTGTAATGAGACTGTCCTATGTTCTGTTTGTAAAGGCTCTGATCACCCATCAGCCTTGCACAAAGATCCTAATATTACCTCACTGGCTGTGGAAACCCATGAGGGGGAGAGGCTACCAGTTGTTAGTTCCAGTTGCACTCAGATCTGTGGGAAGCCATTCAATACCAGCAAGTCATGTGCAAAGATCGTGAAAGCCCTTGTGTATCCAAAGCAGGAACGTGACATTGCTAGATATATCTACTGCATCATTGATGATCAAAGCAGCAACACTCTCGCCACCTCCAAGTTCTTTGATTGTTTCCATGAATATGGTCCGGACCACATGTACACACTGAAATAATGTTCCGGTGAATCTGTGAACAGTGGACGTAAAGCATGTGGATATGTGATAGAGTCCTGTGATCGATCACAAGTGTTTAGACTACCAGATATCATAGAGTGCAATGAGATTCCACAGAATCGCAGTGAGATACCATCTCCAGAAGTTGCAGCTAGCTACCCCCATCTCAGTGATATTACTGACTACATACCTACCATTGATGATAACATTTCGATTGAACTACTCATTGGTCGTGACCTTATTGACACTCATATAGTACTTGACCAACGTGTTGGCGTTCCTCTAGGCCAGAGGCTACCCCTTGGATGGGTTATGATTGGAAATTCCTTTCTCGGAACAGTTCACGAACAGACAGTTGTCACCGTCAACAAGACTGCCAATCTTGCCAATGGTAGACCAACCTATCTAGAGCCCTGTGACAGTTCCTTTTGTGTGAAAGATGACCCAGTGTTTAAGCAAACAGCATATGATGAATGTGAAGGGCTGTCATTAGAAGACCAGGCCTTCTTGGATATCATGGACTCAGGATTCCAAATGTCTGAGTGTGGTAAATGGACAGCGCCTCTACCATTTCGGACCTGTAGACCCATTCTACACAACAATCGAGAAGCTGCAATGAAACGAGCTATTTCATTCAAGAACAGTCTTATACACAACCCAACCAAGGCAGCACACGTCTGTGAGTTTATGCAGAAGATACTTGATAGACAACATGCTGAACCTGTTCCCGTAACAACCAATGGCACAGAGAAATGGTACATGCCACTATTCAGTGTCTATCATCCCAAGAAGCCCAACAGCGTAAGGGTAGTCTTCGATTCTTCTGCCAAGTATCATGGGTATTCCCTCAATGACGTTCTACTGAAAGGACCTCCTCTCTACAACATTCTTCTGGGGATCCTACTCCGATTTCGGAAGGAAGCAGTTGCTGTTACCGCGGACATTGAACAAATGTTCCACAACTTTTTCGTTACCCCAGGACATAGAAGTTATCTTAGGTTCCTCTGGCATGAAGACAACGACATCTCTAAACCGTTAATAGATTATCATATGAACGTTCACGTTTTTGGGAACAGCCCGTCGCCAGCTGTAGCCACCTACGGGCTGCGCAAGGCAGTCGAGAAAGCAGAGACAGATGTTCAGGACTTCATTTACAGGAATTTCTATGTCGACGATGGTTTGATTTCCTGCCGTACATCTGAAGAAGCCGTTGACCTGCTTGTTCGTACACAACGTGTCCTATGACAATGGGAAACTTAGGTTACACAAGTTTGCATCCAATAACAGAGGTGTTGGACTCATTTCCACAGAGTGAGCTGGCTAAGGATCTCTGTAACCTTGATCTTTGTAATGACACATTACCAATGCAGAGAAGTTTGGGACTCTCTTGGGAAATTGAAACTGATCAATTCACATTTCGCACATGTAAAGACAAGAAACCATTCACCAGACGTGGAATATTGTCTGTGATTAACGGACTTTACGACCCCATAGGCTTTGCTGTTCCAGTCGTTTTGAAAGGGAAGCTTTTGATGAAAGAAATTCTGTCCAGTACAACCTCCTTAGATTGGGATGACCCACTTCCTGAAGTGTTTAAAAACCCATGGGATGACTGGGTACAATCCTTATTTCAACTAGAACAAGTGTGCATTTGTAGACAGTACTCGGATCACTCATATACAGATTCCAATGTTCGTCTTGTGCATGTATTCTGTGACGCATCGAAAGACGCGATCGGTGCTGTTGCATATCTACAGCTCTTTGGACCTGTTGGTTCAGAGCCTACACTCAGTTTTCTGCTTGGAAAGGGAAAACTTGCACCTAATGGCGGCAACACCATTCCTCGGATGGAACTATGTGCTGCAGTTCTCGGAGTCGAAGTAGCAGACATAATCAAGGAACAACTTGGTATTCCATCAGAGTGCTTTAGATACTATACGGACAGCCAGATTGTCTTGGGTTATCTAACAAACACTACTCGCAGATTCTACGTTTATGTGTCAAACAGAGTGAAGCGTGTTCATTCATCTTCATCTCCGAGACAATGGACGCACGTTCCCACAGAGCAGAATCCAGCTGATCTGGCTACGAGATCAGTCTGTGCTACTCAACTTTCAAACAGTATGTGGTTGACTGGACCTCCATGTGAGACCCTGACAAAAACATTTTCAGAACCACCCTTATGTTATCCGTTAGTGGAACCAAACAACGACTGTGAGATTAGACCTGAAGTCACATGCAACAAAGTTCAGATGGATGATGTGAAACCTTTTAACCATAAGATCGGATCAGAAAGATTCTTAAAATTCTCAACATGGGAATCTCTTGTTCGAGGAGTCAAGATTCTGAAGCAATTCATATATAAATCAGTGAAACACAGTGACATTGACTCTAGTGAAGCATATGAACATGCAGAACTTTATGTGATACAGACATGCCAGGGAGAAGCATATGATGATGCAATAAGATGTATCAAAGGTGGACGTCCCCTGCCGAACGGACACTCAGTTATGGCCTTATCGCCATTTATTGACCAACATGGCATACTCCGCGTGGGAGGTAGACTTGACAAAAACAGACAAGGAGATGACAATCTTCACCCTGTGATCATGCCCAAGAACCATTATGTCACCAGGCTGCTCGTGCGCAAATTCCACCACCAAGTGCTACATCAGGGACGACTGTTGACGGAAGGTGCACTTCGTTCTGGAGGATTCTGGGTAGTAGGTACCAAAAATCTCATAAGATCAGAGATCAAATCCTGTGTCACATGTCGCAAGTTGAGAGGAAGTTTTGGTTGGCAGAAGATGGCAGATCTACCTGAGGACAGGATACAGCCTGCTCCACCTTTTTCTTATGTAGGTGTAGACACCTTCGGTCCCTGGACAACCACGCAACGACGGACCAGAGGGGGAACTGTGAATCAGAAGAGATGGGCTTTGATGTTTACATGCCTCGTTTCACGAGCAGTTCATTTGGAAGCCATTGAAGAATTGTCCACAGCTTCATTTATTAATGCATTACGCAGGTTCGTGGCCTTAAGAGGCCCTGTTATACAGTTTCGATCAGATCGCGGGACAAACTTCATTGGGGCAGTGCATGAACTAAAAATTCCCTCTGACCTGGTGGAAAACCCAGTATCAAAAAAGTATCTCGAGGAGAACAAGATCATGTGGGTGTTCAATCCTCCCCATGCCTCCCACTTTGGCGGGGCATGGGAAAGAATGATAGGTGCTTCAAGGAAGATACTGGACAGCTTACTCTTGAACCATAAGGGACCTTTAACGCATGAAGTTTTGACCACATTCTTGATGGAAGTTAGTGCTATTCTGAATGCTAGACCACTTGTCGCAGTATCAACTGACCCAGATGCACCACAGGTACTTTCACCAGATATGTTAATTCATCAGAAAACCATACATACCTCAAAGTTGGACATTCCAGTGTTCTGGACTAAAGACGCCCTCAAGAGTTCCTGGAAGCAGGTGCAGTACTTGGCAGATCAGTTCTGGCAGAGATGGCGCATAGAATACATGCAAAGCTTACAGATTCGTCAGAAATGGTTGACAGAAGGTAGACAGTTTCAGAAAGGAGATGTGGTTCTCATGCGTGACGATTCTTTAGCCAGAAATCAGTGGCCCCTTGCTATAGTAACAGAGACCTTTGAGAGTAATGACGGACGCGTACGCAAGGTGAAGATATTTTGTGGCCGTAACAGAACATTTTATGTGAGACCTGTTACTCAGTTGTGTTGTCTCATTGAAGTAGCTAAGTAGTTAAAGCCCCAACTTTACTTTGGTAAAGTCATTGTGCATTATTTGATTGATATGTAATGTTGTGATTTCAGCAAGTTGTATTCATGTATCAGTTCTGTTGCATCATTTGTACATACTTAGTTTGTGTGGCTAGGCATTATTTTAAATGTAACACCTTTTTTTAATTTTAAACTTGATTGGCTTCTTCGAAGCCAGAGGGGGAGTGTAGTGGCGCCGGAATTGATTCCGGAGTTGGTTTGATTAATAGTTTGTTTACAGTTTGTTCCGGCATAAACCATGCTTGTTTTTTCCTACAAAAATTGATTTGTATTTTGGTGTTTGTGTTCCAAAAGAGTAAGTACACTGTGTATAGTGATCATTTGTCATGTAATTAATTATAAAACATAATGCTTTCATGTTGTTAGTGATGCTCATGCCTGTTTTCATGATTTGAAATGTGCGTTGATATTTTGTTCGAGTATGGCGTGCCGTGAATGTCATTATTTCGATGTTTTGATATTAAGCGATTATAATGTGTTTATCTTATACTGTCTTGTGAGATTATATTATTTAATTAATGTTGTCCCCACATGTATGTTTCAGTGTCCACCCTCGCTGAGAGAGGTTTGTAAGTTTGACCAATAAACTTGCGTCGTGAATACACTTACACAGACCATTCATGCTGATAATGATTCAACTACTGCAGTTCGACTAAAGAATGAGTTTCCATCTCTTCCAAAAAAAGCAGGACAAGAATCACTTGATGAAACTGAACTAACAGAGACTACTTTTCTTGTCAATTTCATATTATCTCTTGTGTGAGTGTAACCACTCCAAATATAGCCATTTTTTTCATTTCTAATGTATTATCTACTCCGTGAGTGTTATATCTGGTGTGGTAATAGACCTCTCCATATGTGGACTTTTTTTAATTTTTCATGTACAATGTACTATGTGAGTGTTACATGTATATCAGGTGTGGTAATAGGCTGCTGCAGACTATTCTTTTTCAAAAAAATTGTGCACAATCTACTGTGCAAGTGTTATGTTGGGTTCGGTAATAGGCCGCTCAACATATAGACTATTCGTTATTATGCATAATCTACTTTGTGAGTGAGTGTCAGGTTCATTAATCAGCTGCTCCACATATTCATGTAGACTCTTCATTTTCATATAAAATGTCCTGCATGATGTGTTATGTCAAGTGTAGTAATGAGCTGTTCTTCTGTTGTCATTCTGTTTTAATTTTTATTAGGAGTGGGACGATCCACCGGTGCATCGATGCATCACAGTATTCACTTTGACGATCTACAGATCGATTCATCTAATTTAGTATCACGATACCTGACCGCACTTTTTTTTTAATTTCCAAAAATGTCCGGGCTTTAGAATTCGAAATTTTAGTCTGTATCATCAAGACGTTTAAACAAACAAATAAAGTACAAACGTCTTGCTGATACAGAATTCAAGATATAAGCGTCAAAATGGCGTCAGACACGCCGGATTATATTAAATTAACGAAACCCATGGCAGTAAGTCGGGTGTCTGGGACACCTTTGGGCTACCGGTGTATGAAAAAGACGGCGCACGAACAAGAGATAAAAGTAAAGTGGTATGCAAGATATGTGTCTAATTTGAGTCAAGAAACTTGAATTCACAGTTCATTTGTTGAATTAGTTTATTTTTATACACTGTTATGTTCCAAATTAAATGTTCTAAAAAAATTTCTAGTTTTATTTGGTTTTAAATGTATCGTGATATGTATCGTATCGCACCTAAGGTATCGTGATATGTATCGGATCGGCTAAGTTAAGTATCGTCCCAGACCTAATTTTTATATACAATTTATGTATGTCTCAGATCAGGGTCCCTGTTACAATATATTTTCCTTAGACTAATATTATTATTCTACCTGCTCGTATATATTTGATTGAATGAAATGACTTTTGTTCAATTTGAAAGAGTGCTGATTATAATTTTCAATGATATTATTCTATGCAATAGAATTATGTGTATTGTGCAGTGCTATGTCAAATGGATTTTTCTTTTTGGCTCAGTATGGCGAAGTTGTTTTTTTTCTTTCTGACAGATGTGCATATAACTGACATGTTGGTACATGTCATTAGGTTTTTTTTGGACATTGCAATGGAAAAAAAATTAAATGCATATAATATGAGTGTTTCTTGTTCATTATAATAGTCATATTTATTTGACTGGGAGAAGTACTCAATCCCTACGTCTGTTATATAGTTTATAGAATATAATTTTAAATTGACATAAAATAAGGTTTTTGTAGTAACAATTAAATATTTTATTGAGTCACATTCTTGTTTTGCAATTTTTTTTAAAAACACCAATTTTAATTCTTATTTTTAATCAATCATCTGATTTCGGCCTGAAACGTCAGGACGAAGTAATTATTTCAAGAATACGAATCGGACATTCAAGATTTACCCATTCATATCTTCTAGACAAAGAAAATCAACCTGAATGTGTATCTTGCGAATGTGCAATAACTATACACCATATTCTTTTGGAATGTTCTGATTTTTCGCCTATACGAAAGAGACTTTTTAATAATGTGCGAACAATGCATGATCTTTTTACAAACATTAATCCTTGTACAATTATACAATACTTACAAGGAACTGATTTTTACAACGAGATTTAATGTACATATTTTTTATTAGTATTTTTGTAATTTTCAATTTAACTTTTCATTTCATTTTAAATTTCATGTCCGTCGGATGGGACGTTAAATGGTGCCCCGTGTCAAGGATTGCAACCCCCTTGGCACGCTAAAGATCGTTTCTCTGGTTTTCGAAAAAGAGTAGGCTCATTGGGGGCCGCCAAAGAAACCCAAAACTTTCAAAACCGTTCCTATATTTAAATTCCTACCGCCGAAATATGGCTGAAATATTGCCGACTCGGCGTAAAACAATAATAATCAATCAATCAATCAATTCTGGAAAATGGGATGGGAAGGGGGGGGTAATTGGACCATTTAAGACCTTTAGTTTATTAGCCCCCAATGTGGCAGGATTTTTGAGCGAGGAATAGTATTGGACAAATTTTTTACATAATAATATTATGTAAAAAAAAATCTATGTATTTGAATAGATTAGATTTTAGATTTTATATAAGAAAATAGAGAAAGTAATCAGTATTGTTAAGGTTGAAGAGTTTTTTATGTGTTTTCTTTTAGAATTACATTTCTTTTCAAGTAATCTATTGTTGATATATATATATATATATATATATATATATATATATATATATATATATATATATATATATATATATTATTATTATTATTATTATTATTATTATTTTTATTATTATTATTATAAAGTAACTTGATCCGAAAAGCCGTATCACGTCAAGTTGACAGGCGCGGATCATTAGATCAATCGAGACGTGATACGGCTCTTCGGATCAAGTTACTGTTATAATGATAAATTTATCATATACCACTTAACAACTAGCAAAATATAATAAAAGGAATCTTTCTGGATCAATTACATAACTTTTATCAATTAAACAAAGCATTTTTTCAAGGAACTTTTTGTTGTAAAAACGTCATTTATCTGTGTACTACGTCATCAGTTTCAGAGAGGGGTGATATGGATTCAGAAAACCACAGCGCGGTGATCCGGAACGTCGGATCACACCGTCACGTGATTGCGTAAATTAAACAGTAAAACTGAGTGACAAACAGTTGGGTATATAATAAAAATTCATATTATAATTTTGTTTAGATTTAATTATTAAAAAAAAAAAAGCACATATTAACAATTATTTTTTTATGGATTATTTCAATATTGGATTAATTATAAGTTTTATAGTGGGGGAAGAGGGGAGGTAACTCATCATGTCATTACTCTATGATTTCTCCTTACATCATATTAATATTTTCATTAATCATTCATTAGAAATTGTTTTGTACTTTTGATTTATTTCTTCAATTTTTTTTTCTAATTTACTTTGCAATGATATTATTTTCATGACGGGAAAATAAGGGGAGGGGGAGGAGGGGAGGGGAGGTAGTTGTGGACCATTTGGTACCTTTATAAGCCCTCAATGTGACCAATATTTTTTGAGTGAAGAATGGTATTAGACAAATCTTTCATATAATGATAAAAAATAAAAATTCTATCGGACAGAATTTTTTTTTTAGAATAGAAAAAGTGTCAAATTCGTGTGCATGAAAATAGTTAAAGAAGAAACTTTATTGTGCCCTAAAAATTTAATGTTCTAAAAAGTTATGAAATTGGCTATAACATGAGTTTAGTAGATGAGTATGATAAATCATTAAAGAACACGGCATGAAGGAAGACCATTCTGGAAATATGACGTCATTAATTTGGTACATTTCTAAGTTTTATGCAAAAAAAGCCTAAAAGTGACTCATTTCTGTGCTTATATTCTTCAGAAAATGGTGTCCGCAGCCCTCGCCCACTTCAAGTTTTAAATATATTGTGTAAAATGCTTGAAAAATCACATATCTCAAAATCTTTGTGGGCGATGCATGCGCTGTATGTTTTCTGAAAGAAAATTCCACAGAAAATTGATGTCTTCTGCAACTTTAAAAGAAAATACATGAAAATGCACAAATTCATGACGTCACAATTAGCATTTAGGTGGTCATATTGGAAAAACAATTTGTATGTTTTTACTGCATGGAATTTCAATGATTCAGAAAGGATTAATTTTGATTTCTTACATCACTTCTAATTTTAGAAAAATACAGGGCCAGATTTGTATTGAAACTGTACCTTGTTCTTTGTTGAATTTAAACAGTTTGTTATGCACTATTCTCTTAATTTATTTCTGTTCAGACAATCCATTGTTAAAATAAGTTTATAGTATCAAAATTGTTTAAAAATAATTTCTAATATTGAATGCATTTTGCATAATAAATTTTTTTTGGGTAATATATATGTTGTATTATGATTTTTGGAGCGACTGGAAAGGGGAGGTAACTCATTACCCCTGGTTCTGTAATTAACCCTCAATGCCAT